TATATATATATATCGTGCGATACTTAAGCGATATTTAGAATTGTACATATGCGACGAACCGCTTAGTAATGCTTTTCATTATAACGACCAAATGCCGCATCGATCCCTTGAATGTCGATTAGCGCTATTAACGCGGAGAAGGATTATATTCATCGCGACTGATTCGAATTAGTCGAATTCAGTCGTATCAGTGATATCTCTCGTTAAAAGAATTTAATAATGAATAGACTCTCTCTCTATGATGTAATAAGCTTAAAACGTTATATTATCCATTTAAAATGGAATATTGCATTGTTGAATATGCTATTTTGCTTCGATTATTATTCCTAGCTAAATATCATGGTGGAAGGCTAAAAAAATAGGCTAAAACTCTCTTGTATTTTTGGAGATATTTTTAAAACAATTTTTGCCTTCTTTTGAAACTTTGCATTTTCAATTTTCATCTACTGCCGTGTACTCTACGCAGCTGTAACGTACTTTGAGTTTTTTCATTGAAACACTCGCCGTGTTTTAAAATACGACATCTCGTTTGTGAACATTCCTCAGGCTTCAGACATTAATCTATTTACGGACGTGTTTTTGCAACAGCGAGTGCATTCGTGCGTTGGCATATTTGGCATTTCGGACACTTTCTCGTTACACGCATACGTATGTATAACAAGAGAGTGTTAAATGACGAACGGTACAGCGAGATACATTTTCATTGTATACTTTGTCGCAAGAATGACGAGCGGGGCCATTCGTATTTTCGGATACTCCATTGAGAAAGGAGGCAGTCACGTTCGTTGACAGTTGCATGTTGACGGGTTCCTTTGCGGTTAACGCGACTTGGAGGCCGCGTGTGAGAGCGACTGGCAGGTGCTAGGTCGCCCACGCGACATATATTGGTCGTCGAGATAGAGTGGGTGGCGTCCACAATTAGCCGACGTTAGCGTGCGCGTACGTCATAAATTGATGTTACGCCAGACGCGGCGGATGTGTCGCGCGTACTCGCGTCGGTGACAAACCGTTCGAATTTTTGCTAACGGCGCGTAGAATTAATTTGCGCGACGGCATGGAGGAAATAGAGATTGAAACGAATCCCGTCGACCGAGATTTTCTAGCGTAGACGATGCAGCCATATCGCGACGCCAGCCGCGTTCGACGTCACCGATCCCCGCTCTCGTCGAGAACTCGGAGAGAAACTTCTAAATGAGTTTGAATATTTGATAAATTTGAAAAACATTGCGTCGCGCTATTCCGCACGTCCGCTTTTATTTAGATCTATTGCAGTGCCCTGGTTATCAGTAAAAAAGCGATGGATATTTGTCGCCATTATTTTTTCATCTTTTTCCCATCCGGGATGTTATTTCTTTTGCGCGCTTTTGCTTTTGTTCAATTTTATCTGGGGGACGATTGACGTAAGCGTGCCATTTTCAAAGCAGTCGTTCAGCAATGCTTCCGTTTTCGTGTCATGAGATAAACTTACGCAAATGACAGATATTTATGCAAGTTTCAAATCTTCAAAGCTAGATATTTCGAAATGCATCTTTTGTGCATGATGAAAATCCAATTGCAAACTTAATATCGAATAAAACCTTTCCATCTTTCGATCGATTTCCATTCCATCGGAGTTTTTAAGATCTTTGTCAGGAATTCTATTAGTGGTATTAACTCTTCTCGCGCGGATATGATTTGCACATTGCGCTACCATTATTTTGAATTTTACACAAGTCGATGCGCTCACTGGTAATCCCTCAAAGCAAATCCAGAACAAGATGGTCAAATGGAGTACGATCAAAGTATTCTTCACATTGAAAATGTTATTTGAAAAAGGTTATTATTGTAAAAATGAAAATATCGTGATTATTTCATCACATGATCATATCTGATAGTATAACATGTGTTCACGGAGCAAAATTGTAATGTTGAAATTTATCACCAAAATAAACATGAC